TGTCGGGCATGTGATCAGATTTTTGGATAGCCATCAGAACTATCTTCCCAATGGGGATGTTCTTAACGTATTTCTTTAAAAGGTCTACAGCTCCACTTGGGTTATCATGTTTTATATCAAACCCACGCACAGGATGATTACCACTTTCATACGGCGTCCCATTAAGATTGAGAACAAGAAAATTGAAACCAGCCAACTAGAACATGAGAAAAAACCATCACAAGAAAAATTGGTAAAAGGCAAATGCAGTACTGGAAGTGTAAGTAGACCATGACACCACAATACATCCATTGCTGTATGGAGGGAGATTTCTGCATAGCCCGAAACCGACTACCAAAGCTGACTTATGTTCGAAAGAGCGCTATACGTTAATCTTTTGCTGCATAGCACTGCTGCATAACTTGCATAGTGTCAGCAGCTGTAGCCCTGATATCTTTCCGTTAAAACCTTCAGAGCCATTTGGTTGGTTTGAATACAGCTGGATGCTATGCACACCGCTTAGTGTTCATTAGTTCCGACATAGAATAATTTAGAGCTACAGGGTCGGCAGTTTGAATCGTTCTTACTCAGGATTTTCAGGGAATTTAGGCGATGATCAATTTTGTTTCTAAAGCTCTGTTCAAACGAAGCTGTAAATACGCGCAAGTGTGATTTCGAAAACTCAATTTTAAGTGTTTCCATAAAAAAACTCCCAAGTCTTAAACGCACGATATCGTRATCACGATTCATGATATCTTCACAAGTCAGATTTACGTGAGTCCTAATTTAAAAGGGCTTAATTCTATTGACAAAAACATACACCTATTTCAAAAAATGTTCTCGGGGAGAATGGTGAACTGTAGTTGTCGAAAGGAAATCAAATGACCGAAAGGGAGAATGGTTACGCCGTTCATGACTTTTTCTACTTGTTTGATTCATTTATTGAATATGGAGACTAAATAGAGTAAATGTTTGGTACARACTATCTTAAAGTTCAAAATTCCAAATCAGTTGTTAATTTTACACTAACTCGCAAAACCCACGGTTTCTTTCGGTCGTGCAAACTTCATTCGACAACTGCCATTCGCCCTTTGATCCTACAGCCTTTATTGGAAGAAGTATATGCCATACAGTTAAAAATAAAGTTTGTCTTACCTCTCTTTCATACTCGGTGTTCATCACTTTGAATGGCATAGTGCTGCTTCCCGACACCACTTCGATATCAAGAGACTTTGAGGCTGTTTTTTAAAAAAAATGTTTTTTAAAAAAAAGAATTTCTGAATATAGTCAAGATATATGGTATACAAGGACTGATCAATGGGAATGAACCTTTAAAAAAATATTAAATGTCGTGGATAGCTACGTTTAGGTTCGCGAAAAACCAGTTTATTTCAATGAGCGCTGCTACCACTGATGAACTAAAGGCTAGGTAACCCAACTCACCTCAACCCCAGCCTTGCACTAAATGCGCGGCCATAATAAGATTAAAGAATCATAACCACCCACCGTACCTTGCGAACCGAAGCGCCATTTTAGGTGGACACGAAAATGGCGGATTTGTAGGATTTCTTAAAGTGAGCGCAAATCGTCTTCCGTCCTTTCAGTTTGGACAGAAGTACCTTTAACTATGTACCTCACAGGTATTATCAATCTATAATTTATTGTATGCTTGACGCATTTAAACGTATGTAAACAATAATACGAGCGCGCAAGGTACGACGGGTGGTTATGATTCTTTAACGAGCGATGGATGACTAATACATGAAAGTCGGATCTGACAATWTTTGAGGTTCCATGAAAATAACATTTTTGAATTATAGTCATTTTGGCAAAATTTTACCTTCTGTTGGTGTGGAAAGTGAAGACGTTGTAGACGTCTGAAGAGAAGATTTTGTTTCGGGTGCAGATGTTGTAGTCATTAGAATTTTTATTTGTGTGGATCCTGTAGAGGTTGAAGAGTCTRTTGTGGTTGTTGCAGATGGCGTAGAAGATGGGGAAGCTGATGTGGACGATGAAGAGGTGGCAGAGGTCGAAGTTGTGGAGCTTGGATCATGACCACCAGATGTGTTTGGTGTTAACTTTGTAGTGGTTGGAGAAGATTTGGATGAAAAGGAGGTTTCAGACGTAGGAGGAGAAGCTGCAGAGGTTGAACCATGACCGGTTGTTTTTGGTGGAGAAGTTGAAGAGGTTGGATTAGATTTTATGGATGGAGAAGAGGTTGTTTTATGTGGTGGAGGAGCTCTTGTAGTGTTTGGTGAAGATGATGTAGTATCAGTCTTAACTGATTTTGAAGTTCTAGTCCTTGACTTGGATGATGGAGAGGCCACGCTGGACTGCGGAGAATTTGTGCCTAAAAATGAGCACAATATGAGAAGAATGAGTTCAAGCCTGAATGATTGTAATAAGATTTGCTATATCTAAAATCGTTGCCTATAAATACCTTGTACCAGCCTAACATTTTTTTTTTTGCTTTTTCGCAATTGTCTTCTTCACGGTTACCTGCGCCATCTTGAAAGGTAGCCGTGCCTTTGCATCAAAGCGAGACAACCGTTGAGGGTGCAAAGATAGAAACCTGTGAATAATTATCTGTAGGTGTGAAAGAAGGTTTCTATCATTGCACGCTCAACGGTTGTCTCGCTTCGATTCAAAGGCGCGGCTACCTTTCAAGATGGCGCAGGTAACCGTGAAGGAGACTATTCTCCCCCTTAGCCACCTTTCATCACTGTTTCCCCCTTTGTTTTGGATGGCTTTGTACTGTGGTAATATGTCCAATTACAACAATTGCATTTAGGAGGCTAGGGGGATGGAATGAAATTGTCTGCAGGTGTTGCTTAAAATAAGGAAATTTATTCGAATTGCTCAAGCATTTTGGCTGGACCATATCACTTATCGCTTATCATCTAATTATTCGCATATATATATATTTCTATTCTACTAGTATCACCAATTTAGAATCCTCTGAGAAATGATAAACAAAGTTATCGCCACCATGTTGGATTAGTGAGCAAGAGAAACTAATGGGGGAAATGCTTTGTGGTCAGTTCATCAAACATGGTGGCTATGACGTAATGAGYACATATCTAGAATTTACTCACTAGCTTTGCAGTCAGCCGCAGGATCGTTAGCATTGCATAAGCACTTRAATGTATTCGAAGCGAAGTTGTAGCGACACAATTCTGTTTTTGAACATTTACATGTATTCTATGGACAAAGAGAAACATACTAAATGGCTTTCCTAGTGGTGCTACTGCCCTATGAAAATACTCGTGACAATTTCTGAATGATTCAAGATAGCAACCATACCTGAAACAGGTCCGTAAACTGTGGGGCTTCGGGGGGCTCGGACGAATCGAATCCTGGCCCTCTCTCTGGTGTTTCTGTTTTTTTTTATAGGTCCGCATTATGACAAAACGACCCCCTCCCGCGCCCCATTTGTAAGGCAGCCTACGACTGTGCAATAAAGCGTCACTCTGGTACATACCTCAGCAGCATAATAAACATAGCCTTGTTTGGTTACCAGGTTTTCAGGGTGTATTACGTGGTCTGACTCATTGAGCTCACAGATTCCATCACCGTAATTAATTGACAAACATCGGTCAGTGTTCATGTAACAAAGAGCCCTGCAGAAGTTTTCCGTAGCTTGAATCCTCTTGAACACAAATTTGGTGAGAGCTTTACCTGTAAGCCTTTTCTTGAACATCATTCTTTTGCATTGATCTAGAAAGATATACACATTACATTTGTTGCGCAAACGGCATGATTATAACTTTACGCGAAAGGACTCTTTTGACTTTATCTCATCAACAGCTGCTATCTACACGGCCGATGCTATAATGAGTACTTAATGTAATGTAACCTATCAAAAATTTATAACAAACTTTCATGAATACATAAGTGTAATGCAGCCATAACAAGAAGAATATCTTAACATACATTTGAGCAACATGAAGTCTCAGCGATCGCTGAATGGACTCCTAAATATTTTCACATGCAGAACTTCACAATCATACAAAAGGCAAAATATGCCTTTTGTGGTTAGAGCGCTATCACTCCCCTCTATCCCTTTTTGCTAACCCTTCACCAATGATACCAAAACGTTTTTATTTAATGGGCAGAGAATAAYACGGCAAATGATATGATCTTAATCACTATTTCAAAGGGATTATTTCATCCCTTTGAAGGATAAAACCCTCCGCATCAGTTCCTCCATTATTCCCTTCATTATTGCTCCTCCCTGCGCGATAAGTGCTGAGGGTATTGCTTAAAATACGCGGATACAGACTTACCTTCTCCTTGGACATTTTTATGGATCAGAATAAGAAGAAAAAATGAAAATTTCAATTGCATATTTGGATTACGCCAGTGAACGAGTTTTCTGGTATTTGGTAACTTCTCCAGGTATCTTGATCGGACGCGGCTCAAGTTAATATTGTTTAGAGAATAACAAGTCAATAATGATAATAATGGCTTTATAATGTTCTCAAATAGTCTGCAGGTGTTCGAGCCAATATGAAGTAATTAGAGCAGCTGTAGTCACAGCGTTGTGAGAGTTATTAATGCCTTCTGCGCCCGCGATAAGTAATAGTACAGAAATAGAAAAAACATGCGGTATAACATTTTTTGAACGTGAACGGTCACGCTTCCCGACAGGTTTTTGCGTCCATTATCGTTTTTTCTGTTTCTTTTGACGGAATGTCTTTTTGAGTTTACGAAACTACCCTCTGTCGGCCGTAGATAAGTATATCAGGGACAAGGCCATGTACAGGAATCACACAGACATATCATGCGAAGTCGCAACCATCAGGATCAACTGTGATTGAAAGGGATCACTCAACATTTGAGGAAGGTCATGATCAGTCATTGAAAAATTGACCAAAGTCATGTCGAGTGGATTGAGTTGGTTTTCAGTGACGATATAATAAAATGGATATTGTTGTGGTATTAATCTAGAATGATAAGGATATCTGCATTATGAACGCAGTAA